TATTGCAACGTGCAGGTAAGTCGAATAGACTGCAGAGCTTTAGGAAAGGACTCGAATGACACAATAGCAGAGTGCGAGTTGGTATATCGGTATTGTACAGGCATCCGCTGCGCTTTTGACTGTGGTCATTTATGTGTTGGTTTACTTAAGACGAGGAACCAAGAAGGAGGTGCAGCGGCAATTGAAGATGAGCGGGTACGAACGAAGCAGACATTGAACATGCGAAGATTTGCATCACGCCTGAGAAACACACGTTACAACAACCCTTCTCATCCGGATACCAGCCTCGCCCTCTAGCCGGTACCTGTAAGAGAAGCTTATAGGTGCCTCGGTATCCCCAACAACCATACCACGCCACCCCTTTGCCCATGCTTGTCGCACTTACCAACCGGCCCCAAAACCCGTTGTTTTGCATACACATGATGTATCTATATTCACCTGTTCCAGATCTCTTGCTCTTATGTTACCTCTTCGGTGGCTTGGCTGCATGTACCAAACCCCAACCCAGACCCTGCTTACCAAAACCAGCAAGACCCTTGCTAGGAACAGGCAGTGCTCCATGGTTTACACTCGGGAAATATGTACCAAACAGGTGATATGGGGAATGGAAAGGCGGGGAGAACATCCAAGCAATGCAGATTCCACAAATATCCGCTGCATGGGAGGCAGAGAGGCGGGATGGGGACAACCATGCGCGAGATGCGGAGGGTTAAAAGGCGGAGCGACCCACTGCGATTACTATTCGGGCGATCATCACAATTCCCTTGCTTACTCTGGCCGTTGACTTGAGTGAAGAATCTGCAAAATGCTGGTATGTCAGAAAAGAGAAAATGACTGAAGGAACAGGAAGACTGATGATATGATTAGTACGCACGTTCATTGCCTGCGCGAATATGTATGACGAGACTCCTACTTGTTGCAGGAGGCTTGGTCCAACAAACGCAAGATGAATGTGATCAAGACTGCTTGCTGGAGCGAATCGAGAATCTTGAGAGGGATTATGCGTTGATGGAGGTTTTCGTGGTAGGTATAGACTGGTTCACCTGCCAATCGTAAATGAGACAGTCTAGCATGCTGACCATGGGTATAGTTTCCAGGTGAAGTTACTTCTCCATTGTTTACAGCATACTCGGCTGTTGCTCCACCCAGCGACCCCACCTCAACATTCAGCCCGTCGAGTCACTACACTACATTCATCACTTCCGGGATCCCCTTTCCGTCTTCTGTGTCCACCAGCCAAACGAAAGTGCAGTCCTCAACACCAGGCACACCTTCTTATTCGACTCCCCAATCGCAAACCTCATCAACCGATACTATCCCTGCTGACCCTAACATCCCTTTTCGTCCTGGCTACCGCTCAGTAGCTTATTACGGGAGCTGGGACATCTATACACGGAACTTCCAGCCCCAAGAGATACCAGCAAAGCGGTTGACCCATTTGCTTTACTCATTTGCTGATAACAAGCCTGATGGCACCGTCTTCTTGACAGACTCATACGCCGATGCGGAGAAGCACTATGCAACCGATTCCTGGAACGATGTGGGAAATAATTTGTACGGATCACTCAAGCAGCTCCAGATTCTGAAAGCCAAGAACAGGAACTTGAAGGTGCTATTGAGCATAGGCGGATGGACATATACCAACACAAACAAGCACATGGACGGCCCTATGGCTACGGCTGAAGGCCGGCAGCGCTTTGCATCTTCTTGTGTTGAATTGATCCGCGACTATGGCTTTGATGGGATTGACGTGGATTGGGAATATCCTAAGGACAAAGAGCAAGGGCATCAATGGCTGGAGCTGTTGAAGGAGATTAGGAGCCAGATGAACAAATATGCCGATAAGTTCGTGCATAAGGACGACTCTGGATATGAACTGAAGCCGAAGTTCCTTTTGACGATTGCCTCGCCGGCTGGTGAGAAGAATTACAGGAATCTGCCTTTGAGGGAAATAAGCGAAGTTACCGATTTTATAAACCTGATGGTAAGCATGTTGTTTCCCGGTCGCAAAGGCACATGAGCTGATGAGAGTATAGGCATACGACTACGCTGGTTCCTGGGACAAGCAAACCGGCCATAACTCGAATCTCTATCCTTCAACGTCGAATCCCCTGAGCACACCCTTCAATACAGCTTCTGTCCTGGCCGCCTACAACGCTGCTGGCGTTCCGTCCTCCAAACTCAACCTTGGCATGCCGCTCTATGGTCGCTCCTTCACCAATACTCAAGGTGTAGGGAAGTCATTCGACAGTACTGGCGAGGGGTCGTTCGAGAAGGGCATCTATGACTTCAAGGACCTACCGGTAGCAGGTGCACAAGAGTATTATGATGAGGAGGTTGGTGCATCCTATAGCTATGACGAGGGAAGCGGCACATTTGTCAGCTACGATACTGTGGCCATGGCGCTGAAGAAGGTTGACTACATTGCGCAACAAAAATTGGGTGGCGCCATGTGGTGGGAGATCAGCGGTGACAAGACGGATAACGCCGGGAGCATTGTGCAAAATGTAGGTTGCATGCGCAAGATGGTGGAGATGAATTGTGTGCTAACTTTTGAAAAGGTTATTGAGAAAATGCGCGGCGGCGGAAGTGGCGCAGGCATTGAGTCGTCCTCCAACTGGCTCCTGTACCCGGACTCAAAGTTTGACAACATCAGGAATGGCGTCCTCACGCCACAAGTCGCCCAGCGGCTGCGTAGGGCCTGAGTCGTTGGCACAGGTGCAGCTATAGGCGAGTATGTCAGGTGCTGCGAACTTAAAATCGCGTCAGTTGTCAACGATTCAACGATCGTCATCGGTAAACGTTGAGATGGAGCATTGGTGGCGCGAGCATTCATGCGTTCTCATAGATGTAGTAATAAAACTTGTGTCATATACCTTACCCTTGAGAAATTTCGCTTATTGCCAAGCTGGAACATACTCTGGTACTGGATCTCCGTGACACAGTTGCAGCAGTGTTTGAGGCTCTGTTGGACCCTGGGTGTACGCGACGACGCGGAAGCTATGCTGCTTCTGGCGTAGATCTTCCTCGATATATTGCCAGTGTTGGTATTCTGCTCGACCGGCGTCCTACGATGGCCGACTAGGGTGCTAGAGGTGGAAAAAAGTTTACACGATCACAAAGGCGGCGGATCTACTGCTGGTGATTGTCGTTGAATTTGTGTGGTGTCTGAGCGCATGACGGCTAGGATATGCCCGCCGCGCGCCTGCATGCCGCCTGCCGAATCATATGTACAGGAAGTAAACGCCCTAGCTCCATTTATGCGGCGAAAGTAATAGCAGTCGTACGATATAGCACCAAAATGTGCTGGTAGGGTATAGTAAAGTCTGTCTTGGGCACCAGAATGTGCTCATTTTACTGCCTCCTGACCTCTTCTGGCGAGCAGGTGTCGGCAGGCGGGAGCAAGCGCTGGTAGGATTGCTCGCCAACAATAGTCGATTCCCTATGCTCCAGGAAGGTGCGTATGCGCTCGTCGCGATCTCCACTTGCGCTCAGGGTAGCATTCCTACTCCGCCGATACTCCATGCTCGCCTCTCGGTGTATCTGGTCCCGCCTCTCAATAACTGAGTTGTTGAAGGTGTTAAACCTGGTGCCCTGCACGACACCACCTATGCTTACAAAGGCAAAAATGAGGGCCATGAAGGTGAAGTTGGACATCTGGATGGTTCGCGCGTCATCCTTGCCGCCGCCGCCGTTTTCGTAGTGCCAGCGCTCCCAGTCTTCCCATGTCGCATTGGTACGCGGGTCCGTGGCCCAGCGATTTGGATCATAATTCCAGTCGTTATGGCGGGGTACGGTGGGTGTCTGGTGGTGGCCGGCCCAGCCGTGGCCCCAGGCATCATACGCTTTGCGTTTCTGGACATCAGACAAGATGTCGTGTGCAGCGACTAGCATTCGATAGCGCTCGAGGCGCACGTGAAGGGGCAGCTGAGCTATAGCGGCCGAGGCATGGCAGCGGTCGGGGTGGTAGAGCTTGACGAGGGCATAGAAGCGGTGCTTGGTGTATGCATCGCCCTTTCTGCATTTGAGAATCTGGTAGGGCGTGGGTGTTTTGTGTGGTTTTTCGGCATCTGGCCATTTCAGCAGCTCTACGTCGTCGGGGTACGCGGGCACATGCTGATGCTGGGCGTAGCTGCGCCGTTGTCGTGCGGGCTCAAGACGTGGGAATGTATGACGGCATGACTTCCGCGGCTGTGGAGGGCAGCAGCCCGGGACGTGAGTATAGTATAGGGGACTGAGGTTAGTGTAGGACGAAATGAGTATCGACGACTTCTTAGACAGCATGGTCAAGCAACGGCAGCCGTGGACGGGCGCGCATCTCAAAGCTTCAGTCAGGTGTCGGAGCAGATGGGTGGGGTGGTGAATGCTGGTGGCGTCGGCGCGCGCATGGACGATCGCCGCGCACTCCGCGGGCTTTGGGCGCATGCGCGATCAATCCACCGGTACCTCGCGCTAGCCCGCTTACACAGCACATGCGACACTTTGAATGCGAACAGGAGTTGCCGTTTTTTTTCTTCGCTCTTTGCTGACCCAACTTCTCCGACGGCGCCGTCGTCTCAGAAGGGAAGCCACTATGCAGGTGCGGTCTCTTCCGCTCCCCTCCAGTTGCTCAGACCCGACGCCGGTGGAGCCTCTTGTTCCGCGACTCAGCCTGTCTGTTTGACGTGAACTCCTTCGCCTCGCTTGCGCATGCCTTGGGAAACTGCCCCTGCAGCGAGACAAACACTCGGGTCACGACGCATGAAATCTACCCTGGAACCAGCCTGCCGCCTATTGTCTTTGTCCTCTGCAGAGTGGGCTAACTGTGGGGTCTAGAGGGCACATCCTGACTTCTATAACCGTTTGTTATCACTCCCTGTCGTGCCTCCTCTCCTCCACTCCCTCTACGCCTTTGCTTCTTACTGTCCTTTCCGCTCTTCATTTACATAAATATCTGCCTACCTTTCATGTTGACTGCCTCACGCACTTCCCACACAACTTCCAGCCCCCTGCAAGTAAACATGGCAAACATCTACGACAGTAACCGACACCCTCGGGAAGGGTACTTGAATCTTACCCGTCGGATGGAAAACGAAGAAGAAGACCAGTTCGATGTCGACTTGACTATCTTGGACTTTCTCGTTTACAAGGCCATTGGCTTGATATTCGAATGGAGAACAAGCAGTGACCCTTATCATTCCGATTTGCCCAATGCACTCGTCAACATGACCGCTGGTATGAACGGACATGATCTCCTTGTTGTAGCACTTACTGACGAAATGAAGACTGGAGAACGTTTTTGGGTCACAGGCACCATGGCCGACGTCTAGACCCCAAGGCGTCGTTTCGGTCCCGGTTGTTGCAGTTCGCCCTAATCTTTACGCACAGACTGCACCATGACGAGACATGGACAACCGAGGAATCACTCGACAGTCTTCGTGAACAGAACAAGAGCCGTGGCGAGTACTGGCAACAACGAACTCAGCATCCTTCTGCACTCCAACAGCCCTTCGACCAGCAAAAAGATTTTCCTTTATCCGATGGCGCGCTTTACGAGAACCGATCAGCCCTTGCATCCGCATTGAGCATGCCTCCAGATCAGAGGAGATGGGTGACTGATGTAGCAGGTACACCCTCACTCCACTGCTTATTGCCAGTCTTCATCGAACTCACGGCCGCCCGTGTGAACCTGGATGATGACTGGCTCCCAACTTCTGAATGGTTTGACTTGGCAGGGCAATTCATGCTGCAAGCTGTCATAGGCGAATATCTTCGCAATGGTGCTTACGGCGACGAGACTTTCAACACCATCTTCGCGTATGGCTGCCCTGGTGTCGAGCGCTGGGCGGAAGAACCAGCTGACGTAGCCGCTATGCGAAAACTCTTTTGCGCTGAAGGCAACCTCCGAGAAGAGAACCGCGAATGGACGAGGATCAAACAACAATACGTCAGCGAGCTTCTGCCACGAGACCGGTCCCAGTCAAGTCTTCAAGCGATAGAAGCAGCTCAGGAACGGCATCCATATGCTGCTTTTGAGGAACAGCTTCTCTCTTTCCTCAGGTATCTGCATGATGGTCTAGTCAAGCCAGATCTCGCTCAGGTCGAAGAAGGTCGCATCAACATCGACGGCAATGAACTCTCTGAAGCCGAGTCGAGAGCGATGATTCGGCGCATGTGCCTTTAAAGACTCTGTCATATACCAGCCTCTGATCTCGGCCGGTTCTGATGGGAATTTTTCGGATGCCTGTTTCTTTCTCCGACCGTTCAATCTCGCATCTTCGTAGTAGCGTATGCCGTTCTTGTTTATACCTTTTGAAGCATCGACATTTTTCTCTTCTTACCTTGCGAATTATTCTTCCAGAACCACAACATTCATACCAAAAGTCATGTAGCTGCGCACGTTTTGTACCATATACCCAAATTAGCTAGTCAGGACATCGACACAGGCATGTAGTCGATGCAGTCATTCAACATTTATCAGCCGCTCGGTGGCTATTCGATTTCGACTCTACTTTCCATAACAGAATACTTTCAAATCTCCTGCTACATCCCCAATCGCCTTCCTTGCTTCATCACTCCAAGCGCCCATCTGCAACCACCCATGCGTCATATCACCATAGTGCCTCCACCTGACTTCGTTCCCAGCCTCTCTCAATTTACTCGCATACTCGACACCCACATCCCTTAACGGATCGAAGCCACTCGTATACACACTCGCCCTCGGAACATCCTTCAGATAATCTAGACTCTGCATACCAGGCGAAATGTACTGATGCGAAGGCGGCGTACCACGCGGCAAGTAGTGGTCTGCGAAACTGAAGATTCCATTGCATTCGAGGTAGTAGCCGCTGTTATTTTTAGTAGCTGCAGGAGTATCAAAGGGAAGGCGCGCCTCGGGGTAGAGCAAGATCTGAGCTGCCAGTGGCTTCTTCTTTTGATCCCGGCGTCGGAGACAGATTGCTGCTGTCATGTTTCCGCCTGCTGAATCGCCGCCGCCACAGACACGATCAGGGTGAACGCCTCGTGCTTTGCCTCCTCCGCCCTGAAGCCAATCGATAACGGTGTCGTATTCGTCTAGTTGGGTTGGGAATTTGAACTCTGGTGCGAGACGGTAGTCGATTGCATAGACCTAGAACGGTCAGATTAGTTCTTCATCTTCTTGTATTTCTTGGCTTCAAACATGATGTACCTGTACCCCACTCTCCTCAGCAACCTGCCTCAACCCATTCTCAAACTCATCTACACTTCCTACTGTGTAACCCCCGCCATGGAAATATACCCATGCCCCATTCTCGCCTTCTGCCTTTTCGCTTTTCGGATACAGAACTCGGACTGGAATCGTTCCATGCGGGCCTCGCACAGCCGTAAATTCTACTCTCCCAATGGCATGTTGCTTGTCTTCTGGGATGTTGTGAAAACCAAAGACTTCAAGATGCTTTCTCCGCTCAGCGTGAAAGTCTTCGTCTCCGCCGAGATGAAGCGAAGAATGTGATTCAAGAAAGCGGGATATGGAAGAACAGAGCGTGCTACGGTCACCCGTTTTTGGGATGTGGGAGTCGGAAGATGGAGAAGACATCATAGGAGAGAAAAAGGTCAAACTTGTCGCTTGTATGCTTGCGTATGAAACAGAAGTTAGCTAGGGTTTTACTTGCGATCCCGCTCGTTGGGCTTTCGCAATAGTATTTCTTTTTTCATATAATTGCCTTCCGTCATACTGTGCATAGTCCTACGCGTGATGACGCAAACGTCATTGTTACTCGTCGGTGCCAGAATTCTGACCGGGTGGACGCGTGGAACGCTTCCTTCCGATTTCAGGTTGATGAGGAGTGGAGTCCGTAGGCCCACGATGTGCGCACGCCAATATCCGGAGCATAGTTTTATACCCGACCCTGAGAGTCTAGTCATGAAGACGCGCTAGCGAATATGTGGATTCACCCATCGTTATGATGATATGATCTTGATTATCAAATACTTCTTATTTGGTTTGAGAGAGATATCGCGTATCCTGAACCTAATCTTACAACATGTCGTCAAACGTAGCGATGAGCGCCCTAAAAGGCGGAGGTATATATACAAGAATCAAAAGGGGCTTTGACTAGCAAATTAGATAGCAGAGTAAACAGCAGTGCATCCACGTCCGCATTCTACCTTTTGCTCAAACTCCACTGTCCGGCCGTTGACCTTGACCTTGTTCCTTGGTGTAATTTGGAACCGATGCATTTCCTTCTCTCTTAGTTGCTTTCCGAACCCACCGGCAGACGCAGCGCGTTCTAGCTCGGCAGCTTGGTCAAGTGGCTGGATATATGCTGGTGTGGCTAGGTTGCTCCGCTTTCCACTACCAATCTGGTAGAACTCGTTGTTGCCCCAGAACAAGATGTCGCGACCCCAGTTCGTATCGTTGTCTGTAAGCTTTCTCGATCGACCGGATACAGCGACGCTGGCGACATTGTCGAGAATGGCGGCAGCATGTGTTGCGCCGACAGAGATGGTGGACAGGCGAATGGGAATTGCAGTGTTCTTGACTTCATCCCATTCGAAGAGACCGGAGAAAGCAGGGACTTTGACGGGGTCTGCCTGTGTGTGTACCCATCGACCAGTACCTAGTTGGCCTGTCAGACCGAATCCGAAGGCCCAGGTGTCTGCGGTGGTTTTGTTGCCCTTGGTCGCTTCGGTAGCAAGGAAGGACGTGTTGCCGCCAGCGAAGACGTTTGTTACCTTGCCTACCTGGCCAGAGTAGAGCTTTTGTGTTGGGAGTAGGGATGGAGCGTCAACGCTTTGTGCCTCGGCATTGTACGGGAAGCCCAATTGGCCAGAGGTGTTGTCGCCAAAAGTAAAAGCGCGTCCTTCGGAGTCGCAGACTAAGCTGTGGTAGTCACCAGCAGCGATCTTCTTGACGGGGAAGCCCTTGAGCGTAGTGATCTCGTGAGGAATGTCGAAAGGCCCAGGCGGTCGACTCTCCCACGACAGACCGGGTATACCCATTTGGCCCTTGCTAGGGAAGTCTTGTGAGCCTGATGCGAACGAGAAGACACGGCCGGAAGACGTGAGCATGAGGGCGTGCTCTAGACCAGAGACAATATCTGTAACACGCTCATTCCACCCCAGATTCTCAGGCGTGCGCTTTCGGTACGAGATGTTGTTGGAACCGCCCCAGAAGGGGATCCAGGACCCAGATGGCGGCTTGGGACCTTCCTTCTGCTCCGCCTGTGAGACGGGTATAGAGTATACGGAGCCGCTCTTGGAAAGGCCAATAATTCGATCGCGTGAGATGGCCAGTGATGTAAGGTTGTGGCCAGTAAGAGTCTTGGTAGGCTCCTTGATATCGTTGGCGAAGGCGGTGCCCCACTGTAGGAGATCGCCCTTCTCGTCAATGGCAGCACCGAAATTTCTGTCCAGCTTGATATCTCTCAGCAGCTTTCCGTCAAAGAAAGCCAGCCGTCTTGGTGTCTTTATGTGTCTTTCGTCTGAGTCGGGTGCCACGACCTTGCCCGCATTTGAGCCCCATGTGTACACGCCAGGATTCTCCCAGCTCTTTATCACCTGAAGGTGCTGTGAGCTGATGATGTTCCTGTTGTCGTCGCTCGATGTGGCCTGCCGCCGGGGTGCTTCAAACTTTATTTCGGGCTCCTCTTGCTCTTCAGCGTGCGCATCTCGTATGATGGACTCGCCATTGCACCATTGCCATGCGGTGGCGGTGGCCCAGAGCGTGCCGACGGTAGCTATGGATCGGACGAAATGCTGTTGTCGTCGCTGTGCATACGGATGCGAGGCTGTGCGGACCTGGGATGGCGGGGGTCTGGTCGCTATGTGCCTAGATAGCCGCGGGGCATGAGGCGTTCGTAGGGATGCGCGTGCCACACATTTGGTGCTGAGCATGGTGTAGTATGTCGAGACTTGTGGGTTAGTGGTAGCAGTGTCGACCCAAAAGTGTCTGGTTGAATCAAGAGAACGACATTTGCAACAATGTCCAAAGGTCCGATTATAGTTGGAGCATTGGTAATTGGACAGCTACGATAGTTTCTCGAAATCGTAGCGGCGTGATCAATGACGCTCTAGACTTTCTCCACAGTTGACAGCGAGGCTAGCACCAATCCAGACTGGCGCCATCCGCTGCACCCCCACGAGCATCACCGAGCTCCGACATGTGGAAGCTGGCGTCGTCGTGTTTGCTGTCCACAGACAAGAACCCCGCCAGCATCCGAATTGCGCGAGAATGTATGAGGCAGACTCGTGGTACACGGCCTTTGTCCCGCGCACAGCCAAGCCCCAGGAAAAGGGCAAGCACCGCCGGAGAGAGAGCCTGCTCAAACAGGAGAACGTAAGCCCACCATCCGCTGCCGGGTACGTTTGAGCACTTCTGATGATTGTACTTTGCAGGAGAGTCAGGCTGACTTGGAGCGCGTAGAAGCCATCCCAGAGACGGCAGATGAGGACCGACCCGGAAAGCTCAATGGCCCTCCACCGGCCACCGTGGCCAGACGCGCCAAGTCGTACAGCGACTTCTACACGGTCGTGCGCGCACACCTGAGGAAGGAAAGGGCACTGGAGAAGAAGAAGTCGCGTGAGGACATCAGCACCGAGCTCGAGTTTGCCGATTGGTATGGCGGCCTCAGCGACGAGCTGCTGGAAGCCAGCCACGACGAGTACAGGCTCTACCAGCACCAGCTGCACATGACGCGAAACCACCTCGAGAACATCAGCTCTGACACTACTTCCACCCTCCATGTCCTCTCCTCCCTCTCCGAATCCTTCAAGGTCGTCGAAGCCCAGACAAACGCATTTCGCACACAATGTGAAGGCCTTATCGATGACCAGAAGCGCATTACCAAGCTCGCCGATGACATGGAACAGAACCTCCGATACTATCTGTATCTCGAACCTACTACAAAACGGCTCAATGCTCCAGGCGCGGGCAAGATAGTGCGGGGCAGCGAATTCGTCGAGATGCTGGCGAATTTGGACAGCTGTCTAGAATACATGCAGGCGCATTCCAAACACCGTGAGGCCGAAACGTACCGATCCAGATACCGACTACTCCTCACTCGCGCCCTTACGCTCATCCGTGTTCATTTCACCGAAGCACTTCGAGAGATTGCAGCCGATGTATCTAAGCGGATAGCGGATAGACAACTGAACGACACGACTATGTCTGCACTGCTATATGCCAAATTCCGCGTCGGAGCCCCAGAGTTGAAGAGTATAGGCATCGAGATACAGAAGCGGGCAGTGCTGCCAGCTGGAGCAGCGCCAGGCGGCGAAGCAGAGTACCAGAGTCTAATGAATGAGCTGTACCAGAGCTACTCGGCCACCCGTGGCCGCCTCATCCTTCCTATCGTTACAAAGAAAATTGGAGACATTGCACAAGCTCCAAGCACATCGACAGACCTTGTAGCTTTTGCGCGGAGTAGCATAAGCTACATACGAGGCATATGTTTCGACGAGTGCGACTTATGGCGGGAATGGTTCGACGGCGACGGCGGATTGTACGACTTCTTGGAAGCCGTGTGTGAACCTCTCTACGACTATCTCCGACCACGCACTATCCATGAGACGCAAATACTTAAGCTGTGCGAGTTATGTACCCTGATACAAACACGATACATGGAGGAGGAAGAGGAAGAATCGCCCGTTGACGCAAACAAGCTGGACTTCTCTGTCATTGTACATCCCGCACTGCAAGATGCACAAAACAGATTGGTCTTCCTATCGCTTGCAATTCTGCGGGATGATATTGAGAGATACAAGCCCAAACCAGAAGATCTCGACTACCCAGCAAAGAACAAGAAGCACGCCACCTCCGGAACGAAATCGAACCAACCCGTCTTGTCTGGCAAGAAGCAACCCAAGTCCGAAGTGCCGCCCACCCCATTGATGCCAAAGACGCCTACAATAGTCGAGGACGACGATCCAGATGCGCGGTGGAACTTCAACACTGAAGCGGCCTTCAAAGACTGGTACCCTACATTGCGTAAAGCGATCTGGTTGCTCAGCAAAATCTACAGGCTTGTCCATGTAGGTTCTTGAACGGTCGCATAACCTGTCCATGCTAATATGCTCCCAGTCCTCTGTGTTCGACGACTTGGCCCATCACATTGTTCACAGCACCACGCTTTCGCTTGCTCAAGCCAGCACATTGCTAGCCAAATCCGCCTCGCCGACCGACGCTGCTCTCTTCCTCGTATCGCACCTCCTACTCCTGAAGCAGCAGATTGTGGCTTTCGACATAGAGTTCGTTACACCAGAAACTGAAGTCCAATACAACTTCTCCAGTGTCACAAACACGTTCTGGGAGCTGCGTGCTCGTGGTGGTCTCTTCAACCCGCGCAACCTGGTCGGTCTGCTCATCCCCAAAGTTGTAGAGAACATGTTGGATGCCAAAGCTGAAGTAGACGCGCGCCTACGTCAAGCGATTAACGACTTCACCGGACAATTTGTCACTCGCATGACAGCTCCGATCGATACCAAGAACAACAAGAAGGTACCACCGAGCGAGGCCCCTGCGCGCACGAGCAAGATCCGACAGAACATCGAACAAGAGACACCGTTCTTACGATCGAAACTGGAAGAATACATTACCGACGCACGTACACGCGAGATGCTCGTGGCAGCTGTAATGGAATCTGTCACGCAGACGTATGAAGATTGGTACGACACGTCATACTCTCCATCCCTTGCCAACCAAAACGGGATCAGCAGAAGCACCAAGGGCAAAGGTAGGGAGGATGGCGTGTGGGATCCGGATGTATTCAGCGAGTGGTGCGGCAATACATTCAAAGTCGGCACGCTAGGCTTGGGCATCATGGACGATGAACAAGAAGATTATCAAGATCGAGATGATAGCGACGCGGATAGTATGGGTGCTGCTAGTGGGCGGTCAGGCACAGAACGGACAGGGAACACCGGCTTGAGGATCAAGATGTGAGACTCGTCGGTGAATCAGGCATAGTACGATAAACGACTATATATACTCGCATACAGGCCTACGGGAATGTGTTCAAGATGCCATCACCATGCTACAGGGAGAAAATCTACCATTACTTTCTTCCCACATTCTTGGCTCGCCAACATAGGTGTTCTCTTTGCTGACTCTTTTCGCCCTGCGAAATCCACTTCTATATGCGCTTCACTCTCCGAATCACGTTCTTCTCTTTTTCGTACATTGCGCCTTTGCTGCCTCGCTTTCCGTCGTCGCAGTGCATTCTTCTCGCGACGCTCCATTACATCGCTTTCTTCACCTTCCTACTGTATTTGATTAGCGTCATTGTCATTGTCATCCTCGCCTCGAAAAAAAGCGGAAAACAGAAACTTACCGAACTGGTCTCGGCTGAATCTGTTGATCTGTGAAGGGACTGGTAAGATGATGTTGTGGAGAGTACAGAGAGTGACTTGGTCGGTGGATACTTGGCTTCATCTTCCGTGTCGCTTGCTAACTCTGTTGCTGCATCGGAGGAGGTTGAAAAGCTGGAAGAGGGACGTATAATCTAGCAATTTTAGCATATAATGGGAAAGGTAGAGAAGATATGTCATGAGGAACTTACTGCGTCTCTATTATCCTTACCCATTTTTCCTTTTCTCCTCTTGTTCAGCTGGAGTCTCTTCCTCGTTTGTTCATTCAATTCTCGTTGTTTTCTCGGCAACACGTCTTCCTCCTCTTCCCCACCTGCTCCGTTCTCTCGATCCGTACAAACCTCACCATCCTCAGCGCTGCTACTTAGGCTGTTGCGCTTTTTCATCAGAGCTATGCTTCCCTGTTTCTCTAAGCTCTCTGCCACATCAAGCACTGATGCCATAGATACTTGGGCAGCCTTGTATGCTTTGCCCGAGAGTCCAGAAACTGAAAGCTGAAAGGCCATGTATGGGCGTAAGAGATCAAGAGATGAGTTGATGTGAGCAATCTCCGCATTCTTTCGAAAGCTACCAGTGTTCATGATTGTGCTGTTACATGCCCTGAAATCATGTTCTGACTCGCTATAAGTATCGGTGTCGGTGTCAGAATGAATGCTGTCCGGTTTGATTCTGGAAGTCAGAGTCTTCGAACGTGTAGTACGAGCAGTAGAAATAGCTGGAAATGGCTTATGTTTCTTCGTTGCTGAAGCTTTTGGCGCTGGGTCTTGAATGCGCCTTTTTACGCGTGCTGCGACCTTCATTCGATCTACCGTATCATCTTCTTCTTGCTTGATGTTTATCATATCCTCTTCTTCATCAATATCTCGCACAAAATCTGCAGTACCACGCGCTCGCCCTTCGTCGAGAACAAGAGGTGTCTTGTCTACCTTGTTGTTGTCTAATTCTATGGATGTTATTGATTCACGGAGTGCTTCGACTGTAGATTCGAGTCTTGGTACGATCCTAGCAATGGTGTTGCGGGATGGCGGTCGAGGCCGCCCTTTGGTAGCCCGTGTACGAGCCATGGTGACCGTTCAGCTAAATCAGTCTGGAGCAGACATTCATATTAAGTAAAGATGGTTTAAGGTAGTCAAGGATATATTTGATGCGCGATCTCGCAACTAGGAAACAGACATTAGATACATGGGACATACAAAGAACTGCCCACAAGACAGCATCTGTGGAGGGAGAAACCCAAGAGCAAACTTTAGCGTGGCTGGCAAACCAAGGCAAGTTGTGATTGGCATGTTGTCTCCAAAGGCTATATCAAAGAATCTTTTATCATGGGATCGCAAAAAGCTTTCGCATTGTCCATGAGGAGCAAACCTACTTTTCCAGAATCTATTGGTATCGTATCTGATTAAAAGATCGCGTAAGCTTGTGAACATTTCGCTCCAACCTTAAGAAGGAGCTAGTCTTCCTGTATCAGCTTTAGAATAAGCTTTAGGCATTACTTGTGACACAACAAGAACAAGCTCCCTTGTGCAGGTTCTCGCCGTTAATTTCACTGAAAACTAGCTTGTCGTCCGTTTTCTTATTCCCTTTTGCTACACGGGGCAGCTTATCTCTGTTTGTGAGTCCGTATGAGATTTTCCTATCTATGTCGGGAGATTGCTTGTTCATGGTGTCTGTACGAGTGTTAGGTTCAGCTGCCCTTGATCATAACTTTGAGTAGTGGCATGAGCTGAACAAGCCAAATAGAGCGATATAGATTAAGCTATGGTGATAATAATAGTTCCAACATTTGGTAGAACATAAAGAGACCAAGCTTCTTAGCAACAGTAGGTGTAAGAAGTATAAAACGTCAGAAGCCAATTCAAATGCGATACAGGTTGTGGTAACAATAAGTCAACGCCAAATGCTATGCTAAGAGAAAAACCTGAAGGAAAAACGGGGTAGCCGTTACAGGACGCACGACCACTGCACCCAAGTGCTCATAAAGGCACGTTTGGCAGAATCATCCCAACTTGAGAAGCAAGCGGATCGGTAGAAGGCTGCTTAGTGACGGTATTGACGGCATTGTCCTTGTACTTTGCCAGTGTCTTGTTGGAGTTGAAGTTCTGGTTGATCACACCGCTCATGCCTTTTTGGCAGTGGTTACCATTGGGCTGAGAGCAGTAATACCAAATCGGGTTCTTGTCTGGCACCATGAAGGTGAAGACATTTGGCGCCTCTCCTGCAGTAGTGTTGAAGTTGAAGCCGGAGAAAATCGCGTTGTCACCGCCGAGAGGCTCGCATGGTTTGTCGAACGAGGATTGCACAAACGTGTGCGCTTTAGGAAGAAAGTGAAATTCCATTAGATCGCCAGGTTCAGCCACGACGTTTTCAGGTTCGAAGTGAAGGCCATTGTTGGCGGTTGTAGAGCCAGCAAAGACGCGGTGTATTACACCAGTAGACCGAACTGGCTGCGCTGGGATAGCAGTGGTGAGACTGATTAGCGTTGCGGCTGACAGAGTAATCGATGTGATGGCGACCATATTGAATGATGAATTGATATGTTGCGAATGTGTAGGACTGGTAGGATGCGATGGAAATGTTCTCAAGAAGGTACTGTGATGATGAAGTTGACCAAGAAGAATGTCTACAGGTATATAATCATGTAGCAATTCCACCAACAACTTACTATTCCACATGTTCTACACATAGCCTCAGGGTGATGATGCTACCATTTGGCGGTAAGCTGTGCCATTCTTGCCGCGCTGAGTCGCTAATTTGGTCAGCTCCACAGCCTCAGGCTTGCTGCGTGACAAAAACGCAGAGAATAGCACAGTAGCATGCCGAGGATGAACAGGCCTAGTCTGACACAGTCATTTCGGGTGTGAATTGTTCCAGTATCTGCTTGAAAGACACCCAATGAGCGTGTAGCAATCCTGCTAGGGCCATCGAAATGGCTGACTTGGGGTTTTGACATTGTAATGGCTGAGCTATACTGCGAGAGAAGTCCGTCCAGCGCGATTGTCATACACCTGGCTCTAGGTCACGAACGGGTCTTGTGTCATAGTGGGGAATGCGCGGGCAAGGAATGGCTGAGTCCTAAGAACTGACGACTGCGCCACGCTATGGTACTTCCTTCTATCTCTATGTGGCTCTTGGTATTCTTTGTAATGCTGGCTATTTTTGGATTCGATGGAGCGCTTATAGACATCTGAAGGATTACCCCCTCGCTACACGCTGACGGGTCGTCTCGCTGCTCAAATTCTCACTTTGCTATTCAGGAAGGCATCGCTGGTGATCTGAAACAGCTGGCACATTTACGCGAAGTACAGAGTCACGGTTGTTGATGGAGCGATAAATCCAGCGCGCAGTAATGCGAGTGGTAGATCTCTCGACCCTCGACGTCCGTGCGCCACGCTCGAACCAAGAACGGCTAGGTACCTAGGTACCGCTGCCGTCGCAGACGCATCTGCATTCCTTCGGTTTTTTGTTACTTAGTCATAAAACTTACTTCAAGATTGAACCGTTTACTCTCAAGGCTCGGGACAGTTGTCTAGCATATGTGCTAAACGTGCATCAATTGTGGAGGCTGGGTGCCGCGGGCCGCTAGCAAGGTAAGACGAAGATACACGGTGAGGTTTTAGTCGAACGTAGGAAGGCGGGGCTGCTATGGTTACGATGGTCGTGAATGGTAGCAATTTCTCCACGGGCGCAAAAAAGGACATGAAGGCGGCGGTGAAGACGAAAGTATGCGTGAGTTGGTGAGGCGGTCAAGATATGTTAATACATCTTAAAGATAGCTAGGTAGCCTGGATCGAAAAAGAAAAGAAGACGTGCTCGGAGTTCCCACACCACCACCACAATGTAGTGGTGCGTGAATGATGATTGCTTTGCCAGGTACCGGTGAGTATGGGTCACAGTAAGAGTGGATGGGCAATGCCAAATGAAGTGTGCTTAAACGTTTCATTATCTTCTTCGCTTGAGAAGAACGCCAATACATGCTAGCTCATGACTGCGGAAAACATCCAAAGAAAACATGCTCTATCAAAGAAGGCCCGCTTACATGCAAGCAGCGCCATCAATGCCAATGACCTTTCCGTTGACCCAGTCACCGTCTTGAGAAGCAAGGAAGCAGACGACACGGGCAATGTCTACTGGCTGGCCGACACGGTTGTGAGGGGACCATGTGCAGGCGTACTCGTCGACCTGGTCATCGGAGAGCTTCTCACCACCGGGAATGTACTCGCGGCACACTGCGTGGTACATGTCGGTCTTGATGCCACCGGGTGCAACGCAGTTGACGGTGATCCTCTTCTCGCCAGCATCTGTAGCTTCGTCAGTAAATGAAGTGGGTGTGAAAATGATCCGACTTACCGATAGCCATGCACCTGGTGAAGGTCTCAATGGCACCCTTTGAGCCGGAGTAGACAGCGTGCTTGGGTACACCCTTGGCCTGACCAGTGATGGATCCCATAAGGATGATGCGACCACCCATCTCCATCCTCTTGTACGCCGCCTTAGCGACGAAGAACTGACCACGGGTGTTGATGGTGAAGACACGGTCGAACTCCTCGGGTGTGACGTCCTTGAAGTGACCGAAGGAGACGACACCAGAGTTTGAGCAGCAGATGTCGAGCTTGCCGAAGTGGGCAACAACGTCATCCATCAGCTTCTCAGACTCCTCGACGTTGCCAACGTTAGCCTTGAAGGCAGCGGCATCTGAGCCGTTACCAAGGGCCTTGATCTCCTTGACAACCTGCTCAGCTCCCTCGACGGCGTTGGCGTAGTTGACGGCGACCTTTGCGCCACGCTTGGCCAGCTCAATGGCCATCGCCTTTCCGATACCACGGCCTGGGTGATAGTTAGTATTGTAGATGTGATCTTGGATATGCTTGAGCTTACCTGAGCCGGTAACAACGGCGACCTTGCCGGCAAGGCTCCATGTCTGCTCGATTGATGCCATTGTGAATGTGTTGAGGTGGGTTTTTTTGGTGTTGGGTGGAGGATCGAAGTGTAGAGGTGGTTGTAGTAGTGATGAGAGTGGTTGTGATGATGATTTCCTTCCACGGTCAAGACGAAGACATATATACCCTTTCGCTATTCGGAACTCCAGCGGAGACCGCGTTCAATGAGTAGCTCTTTTGCATCTAACCCACCACCGGTATCCCAACATCCATACGACTCCCCCAACTCAATGCCTCCGGTTCGGCACATAGCATCGCCCCCAAGAGTCGTGAGTCCTAGGGCTGAAACAGTGTGTACCTGCGCCGCACCTGTCCCGTAGCGTGGTCCCCGTCCCCGTAGGAGAGCCTGAGCCTCAGGGACAGACTTCGGACAGAGGGGCCGAAGGGCTCAGGGGCTCTCATCATTGGTCGACTCGCGAGATGCTAAGGCCGGCCGAGCAACAACAAACTTCTAGGGTCTGTTTGTGACGCGCCTGTCCGTTTCATGAGATCAGAATATCTTTTTTTGTCGACTGCGAGTAATTTTGGCACTCCATTGAGTTTTGCTGGTGAAGCACCAGGTATGACAACGTGAGAAGCCCGCGTTTGGCGCTGGAGACGACTCTCAGGGCTGGTGCGACGCCGATGGCATCGCAACGTCTATTTTCGCATCCTCGGATGTCCGCAGTCGACAGAGAGCATCTGCTGCGAGTTCTTGCACCGTGCTGTGAAGCGAGCAGAATAGAACTTCGCTGTCGACAACTCCGTCTATCGTAAGCCCTAAGGCCATAGACGTTCCTGACGATCCGACATGGTCATGTGACTTTTGAAAGTGAATCCCTGGAAGGTTTAGCCTGCAAACTCTCTCAGGGTTCGGCAGGACCTCGACGTTTCTCAACACCACAGTGCACAGTGCTGGAACCTCAATGGCTCCCCATGCACCAACGGTCATCATGAATATCTTGGCACCGTGAACTCCGGACGCAATCCGGTAAATGGGAGTGTCCTAGAAATCGGCACGAATCCGTAGCTAGGTGTCGCAATCAACGACGGGCGCGGCCGGCTTCCACAGCGGGGATCCGCCGACGTCTTCATTGTCCGTGCGTATTCTTCCTCACTTCATCTTCAAAGTGTCGTACTGATGAGTGTAGAAACTCAGGCAGTGAATAGCAAGCTGACTGCATCCTCATTTCGAGTTTACGGATCGTTCGAAGATAAGAATCCTGTGCGCAAATTAAACCGAGTCTAGAAACGAGCCACCAGATCCCAGCATGTACGACGACGGCGCATCTCAGTCTTTATCCAGATTACATACCTGGATTACCAGCATAATGTGGCTACGCGTCTGCGTCGGATACTTGAGTGCTTACAGGCCTCATCTTGTAAGCAGAAAATGAGTTCGCCGGCCATGGTGTCTTATCAATTACGCCCGCCGACCCAAAGATCCAAACCATGCGCATATCCACCCCGTTTTATTGGCTTTTTCAAGCCGGGAATGGCTCGCCGTTGTGCGATGAACTGTCAGTGCAGTGCCGATATATCCAGCACTTGCTAAAGTTTCGGATCTTTTTGTGTGACGCTTCGGCTCGTGCATACACCCTTTCGTACCAGCAGAAGAATAGCAACGACGCGAGAGAGTCGCTTGAGGTTGGCCATTGCGCACCCAAATAGTACTCAAGAGTAAAAGTGCTTGGGCGATACTTCTCGTTAAAGGGTGCCACGCGTGAAGAAGCCCACTGTTGATACTTTCGCATGATGCCAGCAACACAGCAGAACATGGCGGATGATACTTCGTCATCACGGCATCATTCATCGAGAGCTATGCAACCTGGAAGACTATGTGCCCACTAATCAGTAGTTTTGCTGTCTGATTGCTCAAACTTTTTGAGATGGAGTATCACCGTACGAATCACCGGCGAACAAGTGCTTCCCGGCCTGAAAAAGGGGTAGCGTAGTCATCTTGGAGAGCTCTTTTGTGGACTTGTTGGAGCTATGCCTGAATCGCTTCGTTTTCCCCTCAATCCGTTTCCCGTCAAGCACATAGCGGTGAAAGAGGCTGTCACTGGGCCCTCCACGCGACCGTCTGCCAGATCGCCCTGTACTAATGCGTCTATCCCCGGGACGATCTTGGTATACATTATCGAACCCTCGCGTTTGTGTTCATGACATCTTAGTGATGAACTCCTTGTCTTCAATGCCGGTACAAACATGTTGTGGGTGACTGAGAATCTGAAGTGATACTAGATCTCAACAGAGATCTGTGGAATGCTACATAGGGCATCAGTAACGCAGAAAAGTTTCACTGGCCACAAACCGTTCGGATACTACCCGGTAAGTCCCCGATGCTTGAACTCAAGCTCGGCTGGCATACGGAAGTGCATTGATCGACACTAGGCATGTCTTTGACTAGGATAGCGCAACCATATCACTACATCCACCACAATCTTTTGATAGGATGTAAGCCACGAACGGCGACGAAAACCTCCGATTCACCGACCGTTAGATGGAACTCACGAGGGGTCACTCGCGTGTTCACCACGCTGTGACGAGTGACATACATCAAATCTCGATGGCACGGTCCACATTTTCTAGCAGTTACGGCTATCGTGCGGGCATCCGTAGGCTTGGCATGATGCTCGTATTAGACATGCAGATTGGAATAGAAACCATTGATCTGGGTACATAGATTCTGTAAATGGTCCATCATGTCGTAGGTTATTGGGATGTGTAACAAGGTCCACTTGCGGCCGAAGTACTCTAACCGCTCTTGTGCATTCCAACAGCCAGGCATCTCAAACAGGGCTGCATATGTTGCCTCTGAACGCCAGTAATTACGCTGAACGCGTAAGCTTGTCAGGCAACGAGCCTGCAGGTAGACGTCTTGGTACCGGCTTTCTGTCATTGTGATACCGAAGCATGCTGCATACATCCACCCCTCAACTAAACGGGCAGAAGTAATCTGTGTAGTAGCTGCATCGGGAAAAGACTTTCATTCTCCGAACACCTTCAGGGCTTACGAAGTACGTGAAGCCGCGATTGTAGGGGGGCGTTACCAGTTGTTCGGATATGATGACGGGTTTGGAGACATCAGCACGGTTACCGGAGGGTTCATCGAGACATAGTACGATCTGGGTAGAGCGGCGCCTCCATAGTGTGACGAAGTACTTGCATAGCGTCCGGGGAAAGAGGAGAGGCGAAGTGACTACATCGAGGAGGTTGAGGTACGTGCCTCAACACAGCTTGCATTCCCTACAGTGTTAAAACAACCCATAGAAACATATCGCAGGCACGGTGCTACGCAGATCGAGTTAAGGAGCCCAAACACGACACACTAGCTCTTTCGACTTCCTTTATCACTTCTTGCTCTCTTAACTCAGAGCTTCCGCTGCTCTCGCGTCCTCGCATATGATGGATACGCGTTCTCTCCTGGCCCGTCTGCCACATACGGCACATGATTTGAACACCCCGCCGCCGTAGTGCCGCCCTTACACACACACCACTCGCTCTCTTAGCCGACCCCGCCATCAAGCCTTCAAACGCGAAAGACACCAATTACCTACGCAACACCACCCATGCCCTGCTTACACTTGAAACACACACGCGGGTTAAGGGAAAAACGAAGCAATGAAAACACCGGCAGACGGCGATGACGGAGGGGCTTGGCGGGGTGAAAGGTTATATGCGTTGCACTTCAGCCGTTACGCATATGTTCATCATATCCTCGCCCGTCATGCTAATGAGAAGCCCCGCATCCACCAGCGCGGCATGAAAAGGGCCCTTCTTCTTAGGTTCAGGACTACCTACGACTAGACGTGGTCAGCGAGCTGGCATCGATATCTCTACACGGGAGCCACCTACCCTCATTCACATCAAGCCCTTCGAGAGATTATGGGAAGCACGTAACATCCTTCATCGACACCAGTCATTTGTGATACACAGGTTTGTCGTTCCCGTAACCGGTAGGTGCCATTTGACCATCATGTCTATGTACTATACATTAATGGACTACGCTGCAGTCATATCAGATGACCGCATTCCAGGCACGACGCGAATCAGCGACCGAGACGAACATCACTCGACGCCGAAGCCATGTGTATGCCTTTGAACGCCACCCAACGCTTGGAACCTGACGTATATCCCTCCCAAGCATCCTGGATCGCCGATGCTGATGAAACACTGCCGAAAAGAGATGGAAAGAGGCAGATAACGATAAGGCAATAACGCCGATACTCCCGCTAATACATCATGAGCTTGTGTTGGCGCGACAAGAAAGAGAAAGAAGAGATGGAAGAAGTATGATGTTAACCGCGCGCAAGTTTCTCGAGTTTACTACGAATGCCATCGGAAAACCTGGTGGCGACACCCTCGTCAAGGACATCGATACAATGCGACAGGACGGCAAAGCCGTTATCCAGTGGAACAGGGCTACCATCGCGCTTGGTCAAGGTGGGAATACCCTCCCTCCGTGACATGTACCTCAGTATGGTTGGGTGGTCAGCAGAGAGGCGATCCACAGAGAAAGCAGTATTAGATGGCTGATATGTCCCTTGATGGTTGGGACTCAAGGACTCGTTGTGAGCGAGCGAGTCAGCCCAGAAGACCAACCCTGCCCGATAGACAGCACCAGCCCACCACGGCGGGCGAATGCCTCGTGGCATCTCACGAATGAGGCGAAGAACTTGGCCAGCGTGAGTGATGGCCTCCTGCACATCCGACAAGCACTTCTTGTGCATCCACAGCATCTGTTGATACGAGCCGTCCACACCCTCCCGTCGGGCGAGGCGCTCAATCTCTGGGAAATTTGACACAGCATTCATGCTGATAAGATGGAACATGACGAGATTTGCTTGCATCATCGGACATACTGGGTTCGCCTTCATGTACCGTTGCGCCAAGTCGAACCACCGCCCCAATAACGCCTGTACCTCTTCTAGGCGTACGCGAGTCGAAGCAGCTGTCAATGCCCGATTCCGCGATCGAGAGGCTACACTGTCGGAGAAGCAACTGAGGAGTTGGCAAT